GGGTGGTGGTGGCTAAAAGTTATTATAATAGTAACAGTAACATTGTTTTTTAAATTCCATAGGCGTACAAGGCTGGGGGTTGCAACCCTCCAGTCAGTGTTCAGTTGGGCAGAATTCTGCTTTAAAAATTGGGCAGTTGTTTTAAGATTGACTTCAAACAGTATTTCTGCAAGTCTGCATAGGAGTTATGTTCCTTCTATTTTATATCTCTTGTTCATCTATAAATAAACTCATGACAATGTCGGGCAATTTCTGTCCACCCGTACGCCAATGATATTTTTCAATGCTGGGAGTAGCATTTCTGAAAACCTATAGTGCACAAATTTCCTGGAGAAGCATGCCCACAATCCTGGTAAAAATCCATGAGTTTCTTTGTTGTTGTCTAATGGTGCTGGCACTCACATTGCCCCTCTCACTTTTGCTGTTTGTTTTGTAGTTTCCTATCACAAAGATTAAACCGACTCCTCCAAAGAAATACCCTGGCCAGTAAAACTTCATAAATGGACATGTGAGGAAGATAAAGCATTCATTGAATTCATATCTGTTGCAGATAATCATGCGAATGATTGCAATTGAAGAGGTTTACCAATTATGTAATACCTCTAGATTGTTTTAGTACATCGTTAAGCTCATATACTATTCATGTGTACTGGTGAAATGAATGTAATGCAACATTTTAAAAACTTATCTTTATTTGTTCACATAATTTTTTTTTAAACCATTTTAATTATCTTTAAGTACAGTAATATTATGTTAACATTTTTTCGATTTTAAAATAAATACATTTTATAAACATCAATTATGTAGTGTGTGATCTATTTGTTAATTTGTGATGAGCAAGAGAAGACTTATACACTGAAAATCGTGAAAACCATACATACCATAAACCTCCGAATATAAGCCCCTTCCCCCGTGTATAAGCCCCCCTTGTGTAAGCCCATCAAAAATCGCTTACGAAAGAATATAAGCCCTGTGCTTATAGTTGGAGGTTTACCGTAGATTGTCAAAAAACTGCAGAACTGATAAGATGGTGTCCATGGGATACAATACTAATATGGTATAATCAGGAAAGTGATGAAAACACATGCAGTACAGGAAAACCGGGGTAGGGCCAAGACTTTACCACTATAGGTTCCCCAGCTCTATTCTCACAAATAAAAGAAATGTCAGTATTACACCAGACACCAATAAACAATTTTGCAGCTTCTGCTAAACATTTTGTTTCAATGTTTTTTAACCCATTGAGTATTTGAATGTCAGCACTCTCCCCCTGATGAGTAAATAGTCTAGTGTTAACAGTAAAATAATCTGGCGTTAGGCAGAGTAAAATAATAGACAACTGGTTGATCATTTGAGCATAGATAACTGGTTGATCAGTATAAATCCTTTCAATGCATCACACAGTAGTCAATACATTTATATATAGTGTTGTGATAGTGCTGAATCTCCTCCATTTCATTCTCTACAACAATGCTACCACTGGGCGCTTCCTCCATCAGTTGGTGTGTAGGAATGTGTGTCAGGGCAAACAGGATTCATTGGTAAATTAAAAGAGCTACAATCAGTTGGCTGATGTAATTCTATATTGGTGGAAGTATACTATCCAACTCATGTTGACTATCTGGGTCACATTGTGGGATTGATTGGGATGTTGGTGAAGTTGAAATGTCAAACACCCAACAACATAACATTGTTATTTTCTTTGTTTATACCTCATTCCCGTGGATCATTAGGGTCGAAGAACTACATGATATGAAATAAAAATACGTTTAATACTGCTGTGTTACAACATAGGAGCATTTTTATATTTCAATTTTTATTTAATATAAAAATCATCTCACCTTAAAAACACAACTAGAGTGAATTTGTACCAATGCAGGACTATACCGCAATCAGCGAACAATTTCATCAATTTTTATCCCGTTAACCACAGCTGGACAAAGGACTATTCTTTACAACTATAAACATGAACCTTACGACATTCGAATTCATCACACGGTAATTCCGAAATTAAGATTAAAGACAGTTTTGACACACAGTGAACACACAGAAGCTCGTGTCCACCCAAAAACGATGCTTTCTTTCCATGCAAAGTGCAAAAATTCACCATTTTACAATTTTTTTTCTATAAATCTTTTCTGAATCTCTCGAAACCTCGGGGTGTAAACACAGCGAAAGCCGACCGACAAATGACGGCGCAGAGCGAGAAATCGATAATATGTAAAAAACCGCGCCTGACCGCGTTGCATGCCGGTATAGTCCTCACCCTCCTCTGCATTAAAAAACATGACGATTTAAATTATAAGGTATGAACCATAAAAACGCTAACGGGGGAGTGCGAAGGTTCGAACAAAAATGTGAATCACTTAGGGGGAGGGTCAGAAGAAAATGAGCATGGTATATTTCATTTGCACCAGCCCTCCCCCCTATAATTAATGACCGGTCCCTTAATATAATAATAATAATAATAATAATAATAATAATAATAATAATAATAATAATAATAAAAGTCTTTATTTCGCTACTCAAATCAAACGTCTGAGTTTACATATTAGGAATAAAAAATTAGATTCTTACTGTTATTTACATCAATTTTTAGTACTTTAGAATTCTAAGGTATAAGAATATAGATATATAGTTTATATAAAATTGAAACGACATCTATTTATAAACGCGTTTTTGAACCTCTCAGTTTTAACAATTGGTAGTTCAAGGTCATGACCTCTCCGTCGTAAAGGTTGATTTAACTTACTAGGTAAAAGATTGCGTAAGGCATTCTTTTCATCATTTATAATTCTTGACCATAATTTCTTGTCTCTGTTCGATATTGTTGCTTTAAAATCTGATCTGTTGCTTGTATAACCATTGACACGATTGACAAACTTATCAATTTGACTTACGTATTTGTTGTACGATGCTCCACCCCAAACTTCGACTGTAAAGGTGAAAAGAGAGACTATAAGACTATTGAAGAGAAGATCCAATTGATGTGTAGAGAGCCCGTAGTGTTTACAAACCCTTAGAATATACATTCTTCTACTAGCTTTTTTCATCATCTCTTCGAAATGTTTATCCCATTTACCAGGTATGTCTTCCATCGTGACACCCATATGCTATTTGCATTTGCTTGGTTTAATAAAAAGTATATATTTTAATTAATTAATTAAAGTATATATTTTACTTGACAAACCTCTTTCTCTTTCGTTGATTCGAATGGAAATCTGCCATTTGATGTAGAAAACTTGGCCAGAAGTTGGAGTAGGTTTTCCTGTTTAATTCTATATTATCATTATTAAATATAATATATACGATGGCCGAGAACGGCCATGATTGTAAACACTCGCCTTTTTCTTTTACCATTACACTCGTCGTTTTTTTCCCTTCAAAATTACACTCGCCGCTTTTTTCTTCCGAATTACACGCGACGTTATTTCAATGCAATAATTACACGCGACGTTTCTTCAATGCAATAATTATACGCGACATTTTTCCAACAATTACACTCGTCGTTTTTTTAGAGTTACGTTTTAAACTGAAGGTTTCACTTCGGATGAAGATGGGAGCAATCATAAGGTTAGTGTGTTTCATCAAAACAAAAAATCATGTAAATACAGTACAAAATTTCACTTTCAGTCGGTTATGTACATAATGATTAATGCATTGTTTTCTTTTGTGTTTTCCAACTGTATATAAACAAAAGCTTTGTGTGTTTTGCCAGGGTCATTTAGTTATTTTTCTTGTTGCACTTCTTCATATATAAACTGTGTCTTGCTATATCGTATATACGCCTAGCTGCAGTGATACAACAAAATCAAAAAGAATGGACGATTGTATATTTGTTACGGTAATATGCGAAGAGATTATTTCGTCGGTCTCAGAGTGACAAAACGTAACAAAGCAAAGGTTTTACTAACACTAACCCTATTCCAAACACTAATCAGAGCCGTATAAAGCCGGGAGGGGGGCAAGGGCAACTGCCCCCCAGAGAAAACTATATTTACAATTTTTAGAATGTCATATTAATTATTCTTTGGATATTTGGGACTTTTTAGGCATGTAGGCCTACTGCCCCCGGGTGAAAAAATCCTACGTACGGCCCTGACACCAACTCTAACACTAACCCTGTCTCTAACCTAACGGAAAAAGTTTCGACGAAATGTCATTCTGAGGTCAGCGAAATAACTTCTTCCATGTGAGACAGGGATATATAGCAACGCTGAAATACACAAAGATTTTGTTTAGTTTCGAAAACACAAAAGAAAAAGGCGAGTGTAATTTTTGGAAAAAAGTCGCGTGTAATGATTGCATTGAAAAAAACGTCCATATAAGGAAGCAAACGTTTATAAAACCAAATATTTGCACCAATTGAAGAACCGCAAAATATTTTGCGATATTCAAAAGAGTTGAAGGAAAAATATAACGGAAAATACTGACGAGCATGGCAAGTAAAGTTTTGTTTCGCTGCAACAAATTTTAGGTAAAATATGAAATGGAGAAGAGGTGCTGCTATTACGTGCGATGACTGTAACAAAAACTTTGAGTCACAAGAGAGTGCTCAACTACATTTTTTATCGCGCAGTCACTTGCAAAGGCTACTGGCAATAAAGAATGCACGGTTAATGGGCTCATCAGAAGTTAATGAACGTGATGCGTAAAATGATGACGAGAATGGAGAGCAATGGGGATAATATCTTGCCGATATTATGAGTTCGTCTGACGACGAGATTCCAACCCGCGAAGACGGGTGATTGACATTGTTAGAGGCCCAAGGTAAAAGCTAAACAGCGTGTATTAATTTCACAACATGTTATTTCATATGAAGATAGGAGTTAGTAACAAGTATTTCATAGAAGTTATCATAATTATCATATTTACTTACATATATTTTATCATTAACAATAAATGCGGGAATAAGCTTTAACACGAAAACGAGGCTGAGGGCAAGGCCGTGCGCGAAAAAATGCTTAGAAAAGCAATTTCGTGGCAACCCCCTGGGGAATTTTCTGTGGTTCAATGCATAGATGCTCAATTAATTGTTCACAAATAATTTCACAGCAAAAAACTTGCCCAACACCGAGGAAATGGATGATCAGTGATTGTCCTCTGTGAAATTATATTGCAGCAAGAAAATGTGAAATTTTGTATTCAATTACAACAAAAATTACTTCGATCATCAGAAAGCTTACAAAAATCTATATATAAGACATTTAATTAACAGTTTTTTCTATATCTCAAATTGTTTTCGAGTCAGGGGCGGATCCAGACTGTAGCAACTGTAGCAAATGCTACAGTCAGATTTTCGTGCAGAAATATTTTTAATACTGAATGTGGTGATAGTAAAAATTCCTTATAGAAGTTTTCCAGTTTCTCTATCTCAAAAAATTTAACTTCCGCAGCTTCGACCAGATGTCCGTACGTATTTTGTGAGCTACGAATATTAAGTTACGTTTTTACGCGCTTATCTTAACCTGAATTTTACCCGAAACAACGCCCGCTTTTAGGGCAAATCACTTAAATTTTTTAAACATCGTTCAAAAAGCGTTCAGAAAAGTGGTCTAAATATAGCGATTTATGACGTCAAAATGCTACAGTCAACTGGGGGTCTTACGTCAAAATGCTACAGTCAGCGGGGGGACGAGTAACTAAGTTTAGCATTTTTGCTACAGTCAGATGAAGCAAAACAATCACAGTGCTGCAATGCGCTACAGTCAGCTACAGTCAGCTACAATTACGCAATTCGATAGGAACTTTAGAGCGATGTTATTTGGCTATATTTGTTTGCGCTTTTACCAAGCCAATTTCTTTCGAAGAAAAACTAAGTAGACTAAAGCGCTATGTGAGGATGCCATCGGGAGCAAAGTTAAGGCCGATCGCCTGAAAGATCGCGAGGTATTTTTGTGTGATTTTTCTAAATTACAATTCGAAACCGTGAAAGAGCGCGCTCGTTGAACCACGTTCGGATCAGGTAAGCTTATGAATATTAGAATATATTAATAAACAGAATATAAATGTAAACGCTCCGTGCCAGTGTTTGGAAATTGCGCGCCGGAGATTTCGAAAATTTAATAGTAAATATATAGAAAGTATCAAAATTGCGCGTCCGATATTTCCGCCGCGCGATACAAACTTTCCACACTGGTAAATGATAACAACACAAAGCTTCGCATTGAGAGATTCGAGTACGTTTTATACTGAATTACTGAAATATACAAGCAAAACCGTAACTCAAAAATACAAGCAAAACCTCGAAATTTGGCTTGTATATTTAAGTGGTTGAATCTCTGTTAATCCGAAGGTTTCTTTCAGTATATAAATGTGTCTGTTTGCGTTATATATCGTTCTGCCCATTGATTTTATGCATTGATTGTAATTGTGTTTACATATGTTACACATGTGCAGTATGATATTAAATTACATATTAACATGGGGAGGAAGGCTGGTCTTAAACTTTACATACAATAATTAAGAATGTAGATCTGGTATGATTTGGTATGTCGTTTAACCATTTTACTGTCTTTACGTGTTTTTGTAACTTTTTGTCTAAAATATGGCCTTATTAAGGTCAAATTTTAGAACAGAATTCGATGCTCAGAATGCAGGAAATGGTGTTTCCGCGCTTCAAATTTCAAAAATTTTCCAGGGGGGCATGCCCCCGGACCCCCTTAGATTACGTGGTGCCTCCTCATTTTGGGATTATGCTACAGTCAGATTTTTAGCTGGATCCGCCCCTGCGAGTTATACGCTGTCAAAAACACGTTTTTGACCTGGTGCCCAGTCCTTATTGCGATATCAGTTTTGGTCCAATTTTCACATTTAAAACAGCAATAACTCAAAGATTATTTGAAGAATTAAAAAACTGTTTAGAAGTCTTAAATGCATTTTTTTGTACGTTTTCCGATTATGCAACTCATTTTTGTTGTAATTGAATACAAAATTCAGTAAATTTGCTGTAATACAATTCAGTTAATAGAGGATAATCATTGATCACCTACCTTCTCTGTAGTGAGCAAGTTTTTTCCTTGGGAACTTTGTTGGCAGTAATGTACCTATATGCCTTTCAAATATAAAACCACAAACCAAGTACTAATAATTTTGGCCAAGCGAAATAACTTTCGCCAACGGCCTTCAATGTACATTGTTGTGACGTAGTAATGGTAAGGTCTTTTGTTCAATAGCAAATGTAAATGCAGCTTGATATTTTTAGTTATTCTACATTATAAGTACCCAAACAATCCGTACATTTCAAAAATAATACGAGCGGTTTTGTGAAATTGGGAGCCGTTTCAAAATTGTCTACTTTTTTATAAGGTGGAGTTCAATGATCTGGATTCTTGCACTTTACTTGATGGAATTAATATAGGCTAGATCAGATTTAGAATTTTTCTGGACGATGTTGGAACGATTTGGAGTGCAGCTCCCCTCTCTGTCATCCATTTTGTCCTTCAAAGTGAATGGAATGGAAGATGGTTTACCATTAAAAAAGGTGATTATTCAAAGCAAAAAAGGCACCATTTCAGACGTCAGCTTCTCACTGCTCATTTTCAATTCAGACGGGTAATAAGCAGAGACTCTCAAAACATTTGTCTAATAATATATCATCATTGTATAGAGTTATGGAGTTGGACATCTCTTTTACTGGATTGCACCTTCTAACATCATAAAATTGGAGTTGGCAACACCGTCAGTTGCCAATAAAATAGTGAGATATCCTGAGAAAACGGATCATTTTATTAGTTAACCTGCACCGTAGCACGAGAACGAACGAATATGCAGGTATGCAAATGCTTTTGGTCAAAAGCTGAAATCTGATTGTATTGCATAATTAATCTCGTACGCATCGGACGAGTAAAGACGAGAGGGAACGAACAAGAGTTTATTTGTATGATCATGAGTCATGACCAGTCAAGACGTACATTTAGTTATTTGTACTAAAAATTACAAAGAACTAAATTCTAAAAACTGAAGCATGGCTCCAATACGAGTCGCACTCATTGGAGAACTACTGAAGGACCTTAATTAATGAATGAACAGTATGGACAAAATAAAATGGTCCAGTTCTGGATATTGTTATAAATGACATCGTGCGAGATAAACGTTT